TGTATATCTGGCCATGTTTACAGTACCTTGCATGAATTCCTCCTATTGAGCGGGCCTTAAATCCAATTAGACACCTGTTTATCACTCCTCAGACAAAAGTGTCACTATTGTTCCAATAGAGAAATTTCGCTGAGCTGATTGTTGCAGAGGTTTGTAGTCTTTACAGCTGGGAAGCACCGTTGGATTGGTTTTCTCCCTTGGCAGCTTGCACAGCACCTTCTGATATTAAAGCTAGTCTTCCAGGTCAGTTCCATCTCAGCTACCCAAGTACTATGTCTGACGTAGCTAATATCTTCAGCTATAAATTCTTACCTTCAAGTTCTGAGAGGTAATCAATGGTTATGATAATAGCCTATATTCTCTTGGACTACCCCAGCCAATAATTCATAGGGAGGTTTCCCTTGCCTGGTACTGGGATTTTTGTAAGCCTTCAGCTACAATGTAATCCCTAATCTAAGGCTCGAGGAACATGGTAGCAGAGGGAGTGGGAAGATTGTAAGAGCTATAGAACACCTGAACACCTGTTGCTAGGTAATGAATTCTAGACACAATAGGAAAGCTACACCTATGAACTCTTCACAGTATGGTAGCCTAATGAGATCTGGGTAATGACAAAAGTAGTTGACAGAAAATGTGGATGGGGGAAACTTCACAAAGTCCTAACTCTAGATGAAGAGCTACAGATAATGAATGGTGACGGATGAAGAATCAGTTTTCTCCAGGGATGAGCTCCCTGATGGATTATCTAATCCCAAGTGGCCAGCACTAAACAGATGTACACATGAAGACCAAAAACTGAATTCAGTGCATTATGTGTGTGCATGTGTGTGTCTGTGTGTAAGACAGTAATAATCAAAGAAAAGGACAAGAAATCGAGGAGTGGAAGGTCATCAAAGGAGTGGGAGGGGTGGAAATGATATAATAACAGTACTCATGCATGAAATTCTCAAAAAAGTAAAATTAAAGAGGAGGACAAAACATAAGCTGGGTGTGGTGGCATGCAACTATAAATCTGAGCATTTCAGAGGCCAAAGCTTCAAGAGAATATTAAGTCTGAGCCCAGTCTGACCTACAAAGTGAAACTCTCCCCTACCAGGAACAGAAATATAGCTGACCTATGAAGACACAAAGCATTTTTAGATAATATTTTATCACATACTATAATACAAATGTGTAGTATTTATTTTTAAAAACTTAAGATATTATGAAGAAAAAAAACATTCAAATTTCATACATATAAACTGTACCATTCACAGCAGGGAGAAGTGTGAACAGCATAAAGCCTAGTAGAGAACATACTGTGTTACTATAATAATTTCATAGATAATTCCTGGTGTTCATCAAATGCAAATGTTACAGGTACCACTTAAAATGCTGTGTGGTATTAATCATCACATGAGCATTTGTCTTTCTAAGAAACTGTGTATTGCAGTAAAAAGTGATCTTTCAGTTCTTACCTAGTTTTCTGCATAAGCAATAGTTACAAACTATATGATAATCAACAATGACATTGGTAAGATTTCAGGTCAGACACAGGCTATCCTTAACTAGATTTTAGGGGTTAGAGGACTTGATTTTGAAGATCAGTCAGCACCCAGAACTTTCACATTATTTCAATAACTATACCTAACTCTGAGTCTCAAGTATCAGCCTCAAAACTGACAAAGGAGAGATGAACTGAATTACATCAGCCCCCCACCACAAGCAAAATCCAGAGACTGTAAAGAGCAGAAATAATAAATAGGATACAAAGTTTTAGCAGAGGATAATCCTAACTCCCAAATTTCATTCTGAGAAAACAGAAGAAGCTATAAAACTTGCCCATGGTTCCATGGATAGTGCACAGAGAAGGCTTCTTTAAACAGAAGTCAACGTCCAAAGTCCACATTCTTAATTACTATGTTAAATAACCTACCAGAAAAACTTAGGAGAAAAGAGAAGCTTCCTTTATTCAACTGTTAATCTTGATGAACACTATGTATCATTACATACTAAGATAAAACATATGGAACACATTTAACTAAAATCAGTATTCAGAGAACGCTTAAATATTCCTAAAAACCAGTAAGAATAGGGCAATAACCAAAAAGACAAATGGCCATAAAATGAGCAATTATTCCTCAGAAGACAAACGATGAATAGTAGATACACTCAGGAGAGGCTCTGACTAGAAATTTCCCTAGGAAATCAGGGAAATTCAAGTTAAGACACAATGACGGGGCTGGAGAGATGGCTCAGAGGTTTAGAACACTGACTGTTCTTGCAGAAGACCCGGGTTCAAATCCCAGCACCCACATGGTAGCTAACAACTGTCCATAACTCCAGTTCCAAAGGACCCAACAGCCTCTTCTGTCCTCCACAGGCATTGCACGACATGACATGGTTACACTCACCGACATGCAGGTAATACATGCACACACAGAAAAATAATAAATAAATTTTAAAAAGAAAAAAAAAGATTAAGACACAGTGCAATGAAAGTTTCCACGCTAAAACCAATACAAAGATTTTAATGTTGTCAAATACACAAAGCTAATAGAAATTCCTATTCACTGTTGCTAGGATGTAACTGTTACAATAATCAGGAGACACTATTTCATGAAATGTAAAACATTTACACAGTCTATGATTAAAACCTTCCAATCTAATATCTATGTATCCCAAAGAAACTGTTTGAGTGTGTGTGTGTGTCTGTCTGTGTGTGTGTGTGTGTGTGTGTGTGTGTTGCATACATACATGTATGTGCAGATGTGCATGGCAATTCATGCATGCATGGAGGCCAGAAGAGAATGTAAGGTGTCCTGGTCTATCACTCTCCACCTTATTCCATTAAGACAGGGTCTGACACTGAACCTGGAGCTAGGCTGGTGGCCAATAAGCCCCAGAGATCCCCTTTGTCTTCTTTTGGTACAGTGAGTATTTTTACCTGCTAAGCCATTTCCCCAGGCCGTAAAAAACCTGAAGGAGAAGAATAGTAGGTAACAGGCCTTAATAAGGGAGATATGGATAAAAATTGGGTTAGTCTA